TTCGGACACGGCTTCGGACATGGTGGATACGGTGAGAACATTTTTGTCATTGCCGTTGCTTATTTATTTCGTTATCCATTCACCCTTTTCACTTGTTTATTTACATTTTTCACTTTATTTACATTTCTTTCATGATTTCAAACAAGATCTGCAACGTGAAAATTCTTGGAAAGGGAACAATGGATATAATTTTCACCAAACTGTTGCAAAAGATGAACATAACATCAGACACCCACTAAGTACCATTCATTAATCATAATTGTCTAAGCCAAGTCTCATCAGTTGTATCAAATATCTTATCGTTCCAAAATTAATCGATCTTTATTGATTTAAAGATACAGCTTCCTAAATAACATGTTTATTTTTTAAATTTTGATAACATACAATTGAACAATTATCATGAATACATTTAGATTCAACATTGCTGCTGCTAAAGGTAAGGTGTCAAATATTATTTCTATCCTGTAATAAACTACATATCTTTTATTCACTCGCCACTCCTGCGATATCAAAAAATCAAGGATAAAATATTATTACTTGTCTCTCAAAAAAAGAAGATATTTCTCAATTTCTAATATTAGTGTTCATTTTCTTATTTCTGTCTCAGCTGCAGGTATTAGACCTCATCAAGAATAACGATAAATTGAATTTCATTAAGCTGCTTTGATGAATTTCTTGATATTATTTGCAGTTTCGTGGAATATGTAAAGGAAAGCGATTGAAGAGGTGTATATTCATATATGAACATGTGTATGCAGTACATATGTATGTATACATATGTGTGTGTTTGTGTGTGTGTTTGTGAAAGTATATGCATATGTGTATATGTATATGTATGCATGTGTGTGTGTGAATGTATATGCATATATGTATATGTATATGTATATGTATACATGTATGTCTGTGTATGCGTGTGTGTTTGTGTGTGTGTGTGTACATATACAAATATAAACATCTACTACCTACAGAGAGAGGGAGGAGAGAGAGAGAGAGAGAGAGAGAGAGAGAGAGAGAGAGAGAGAGAGAGAGAGAGAGAGAGAGAGAGAGAGAGAGAGAGAGAGAGAGAAGAGAGAGATAAGCCAATATAATAGTATCTCCCATAACCTTTCTCTCTCATTTTTTTTTCATTACAGGATGGCGCTGAGTAGAAGTTACCAACGAATATGTATCACTAAGAGCTTTCTCCATTTTCCTTTATTTTGTGAAGTCAACCCGACTCCACTTTATTCCTTACTTCGCCTAGTCTTACATGAAGCAAAGTTCTGAAGTTCAAGTCGTGGAAACAAGACACGTGAACACTTCTGAACGTTTTGGAAGGCCCAAGTGTTCAAAAAAAAGTATCACTTTGGCTCTACCATACTATTTTAAGGGTTTTACTAATCATAAGATGTAGTGGAGTATAAACACTTTAAGTCTGTTCTCTCTTCTTTCTCTCTCTCTCTCTTCTCTTCCTCTTCTCTCTCTCTCTCTCTCTCTCTCTCTCTCTCTCTCTCTCTCTCTCTCGCTCTCTCTCTCTCTCTCCTCTCTCTCTCTCTCTCTCTCTCTCTCTCTCTCTCTCTCTCTCTCTCTCTCTCTCTCTCTCTCTCTCTCGCTCTCGCTCTCGCTCTCTCTCTCTTCTACTTATCGTTTACACTGTAATTAACATAATTTAGTTTGTGAATTATGTTGCCATTGTGTCTACGGAGTCATAAAGTTAGGCAATATAATGTTTGTATATTGTTTATTTGTGTGTGTATTGTGATTGAATGTATATGTGTATGAAACTCTATGTGTATGTGCATTAAAGTGTGTGTGTGTGTGTGTGCGTACGTGTGAATGTGTGTGCATGTGTGTTTAAGAATAGGTGTTTTTATATGTGTACTTTCTGTCCATGAATGTTTATGCTTATGATGCTGACCCCACCATGTATACCTGGATATTTTATACCGTGAATTGGAAACCCAAAATGTACAACAGATTCGCAGTGTAAAACAATATATTTGTATATAACCTGAGAAATACACTAAATAAAGCTATCCAATCTTTTATTTTCACTTATCTTTCTTTATTCTATAGAAAACATAATGGAAGTTGATCAAAAGTTATATAAAGAAGGAAAAAATAGCCATTTGATTTATGAAATTGATTAAAAAGTTTATCAAGAAAATGCATAGTCAAAACTTGAAACGATGTACTAACGGTAAAACAGTTGAATAGAGAATAGAAGTGAATGAATAGAAATAGAATTAGAAATGAATAAATAAAATGAGATAAGCAATAAGAATAAAAGAAAATAAAAAATAAAACAAAAGACAGAATAAATAAAGTAATTTCTAGAACAATCAAAAAAAAAAAAAAAAATAGCTATTATAATGATAGCAATGATGATGATGATAATAATAATAAAATGTAACAAGAAAAAAATGATTACAAAAAGCAACAGCATAACATCTTCATGTCATCTTTCATCAATAAAGGTCAAGCTCTATCTCTCTCTGCATCTCTTTCTCTCTCCCTCTCG